AGGGAATCTAGCACCTTAACCACCAGGCCACCTGCCAGCCCCAGCCACCAAATACTTTTAAAATTAGGACATACTTTCCGAACTGTTAAGTGTGAGTTCGCTTTGGTATTTGCTTCATGAATTGGTTGAAATTAAGCTGAGAGCCAGATGTTTTATCTATTCTTTTAGATAATGCAGAACATAAAATCATTAGAAAGCACTCATGTGATTGAATGGTTAAACTCTGAAGTATAAACTCAGGTGATAAAGCTACTGACTTAGACTTTAGAAAATTTTAGTGCATTTTGACAAGTAACAAAAAAATTTGATGACTAGTTTGTAAGGCAAACTTTCAACAGTCAGACTAAATCTTTGTAACACTGAAACAACTTTTGAAAAGTGAAAGCTGCAGATTTTCCTTGTGATGTCAAACCAAGAACTGAATTTATCCCTGTTAAATTAAATTTCGTAGTAGGTAGACCACCAAAAGATATTAGTTAATGTAGTATGTTACATATTGTACCAAAATTACTACAGTTCATATGCATGGACGGAATTATGAAATAAGTGTCAAATATCCTACAGGGAATTATGTCTTAGAAAACCTCTAAAGACATGGAAGGGAAAATGTATAAAGGCTAGAAAAAGAAGTCATCAAAATGTCAGCATAAAACTATATGATATCAATCATTACATGTAAATCTTAATTGGTACTAAGTTGTAATAGTAAAACAATTCTGAAACTATCTAAAAAACTTGTGATGGTGCATAACTGTTTGACTGCATCTTTGTTGAACGAACAAATATCACTTATTCATTATATTCAGGAATATTATGTAAGTTATTTTACAGTGCTCCTAATTTTTGTTTTGGAGAGGTTTTGCTATAGGGCGCGTGCACTCACCAGAAAGACAGACAGAGACAGAGAGACAGAAAACGAGAAATCCCCTCTCGGGGTGGGGGGGATGGCCACACCACAATCCCTTCTCCTCTAGGGATCTTGGGCATGCATGCACACGCGCCCCATGTGAGATTAAGCCATCGAGTCCAGGACTCGAACCGTGGTCGACTACATGGGAGTTCAGCGACATAGCCATTATGCTAACTGCTGGTCCCATAGTGTCCATAAATTAATTTGAAATATTGCTGTCTCTGGTAACATATCGGATTCTTTCTAACAACAATCAAGGGAAGAGCAATTGAAGTCAAGATCTTTATGCATAAATGTGTTGAGTCTGAATACCAGAGAGAAAATGGTTTAAATTACATATATTGAATGCCAAATCAGTTAGGTTACCATTATAGTGGCTCAGTAATGAACATGCCTTTTTGGTAGGTTAATCTAAGTTTTCCTACTTTAGCAAACTATGTTGGTACATAGCACTTCAAAATTGCCCTGTGTGGGGCCGGCAGGTGGCATGTTGGGTAGGGTGCTGGCCTCCCACATTGCTGACCACGATTTGAGTACCATACTTGGCTGCTTGCTTTCTCAAATTTATAACATTTTTTAGAATAAAAAAAAAATTGCCCTGTGTCTCATATTCTTTCGAAGTTCCTCTCTATCATGCAAACCAGAAGGTAATGATACTTCAAGAACTTTGACCTGACTTATCTAGAGTGGTCCTCATTAGAAAACTGCAATTATAGTCACTGTGAAACAATGCCTAAGGGTTAAATCTGATTGCATAACACAGACCATTTCCTAGTAAAGTACTGTCTAGTCTAACCTGTAATTATGCAGTGTGTTGAACTAATGCAAGTAAAAGTGGATTGTACTTTCAGAACCCTAGACAGTTTACTGGATGTTGACATGAATTTGAAGTCTAGCTACTGCCATGGTAAATTCTGTTGGACTTTCATAGCAGGAGCAAAATAAATGGAAAACACTGAAGAAGGTGCTTTAAAATTATTACGAAAAGACTCATACTATTAGAATGGAAAATAGTGCAAGTTGGGGTAAAATAACTGCCTTTTCTACAAATGCTGTTTGTTTCAAGCAGGTTTCTGGAAAACTCATGTTCAGCAAGATTATTAACTTATTTTTTGAGAGAGACTTTTGCTATAGGGCACATGTGTTTGACAGAGAAACAGAAAATGAGAAATTATCTCCCAGGAAGGACAGCCATGACGCAACCTCTTCTCCATTCTCCTCTCAGGATTTTGGGCACCCATGCATACATGCCTGACATGAGTTTTAAGCTACTGGGACTTGAACCACAGTCGACTACATGGGATCCAGTGACATAAACATTACACCATCTGCTGGTCTTTGGTGTTAAATTTGAGATAATAATGTCACCCTAATTTTAGAATTTTCTAAAATGTGACACTCTACAAGTGTATTAATCAAAACAGGTGATTAAGAAATCTAAAACATCTAGTGACACTTGAGGCAGTCTTTAATTAGTTTTAAAACTTAACGGAATTATGTCTGTAAGTAAATCTTTGAATAAAGTTGGTGGATTAAACTTGCTTTTCTGATGGTGGTGAAACTCCAATTCAAAAATACGTTTTAGTTTACATTTAATAGTAATTTGCTTCTAAACTTCTTTAAATTTCACTGAATTTTCTGCTACAATGAAAATTTCTTAATTTGTACATAATTGATTCATGTTATTAATTATTGCATATCAATGTATTTTGAAATAATTTTTAGAGTAGCTGTGGTACTCTGGTTGAAGTTTCATGAAACAATAGTGCGCATCAGCAGTTCAAGTTTTAACAGCTTATTAACTGGAATCCATTTCTGAATTGTCAGATACGTATTTCTGAACATTAGCTTATTTGTCACTAGAGACATGAAACACTTTCTCACACTTGGAAAATAATTTTATGTTATTGTGGTTTCCTGACTTTCACTTGAATAATGGCATAAGCATCTTTTCCCCTACAATAATTGGAACACAGATTCGTAACGGTAAAATAAGCAACAATCTTTCAGCTGTACTCCATTAATCTAAAGACCATGCTTCTACCATGTTTTTTTTTTTTTTAATTTGTAGGTTCAATTAAGTGAAACCATAAGAGAATTATTTTGTCATTGAATAATTCTTTTTCTTTTAAAAATTATCTATCATATTTTTGGATAAATTTCATATTGTATTTAGTTTTTCTTTTAACAACCAGAAAGTTGTAAGAAAATTCTCTTCAACACCTCATCTGTTTGGATAATAAATTCCACATATCCTTCCTAATTTTTTCTCTGAACACCACAGAACTAAAGTTATAAGGAAACTTTATCTTCAATAACAGCTAAGAGACTCATTTCAAAACTGCCATTTTTCTTTCTTTAGCAAGGGCATTCTCCCATGAGGGAATCATTTCAAATTTTGTCAGTCTTTTCACTCTCCAACAAG